GGCCGACTCGAGTCGTAGCTAACCGTAAGCCCGTATCGAAAGTATATGCATTGTAATCTTTGAGTAGCGTATATAAATAATTTTTACGTTTTAGCATTGACCAATTGGAATCAGCAGTCGTAGTCGGCAGTCGAATCGGCCTGTAGTCGATAGTCTGATACAGGCTTTAGTAACGTTAATGAGTAGTTATTTTTTACTAATTTTACACTCAATTATGCATATGCATAATTATATGCATAATATATTGTAAATGTAACATATATAATTATTATTAAATCAATTAATATTAATATATTAATTAGTTTTATTAATGTTGGGTGCTTTCCAGTTGCGTACACTGTGTTGCACAAAACCAATTTATTGGTTGCATATTATCTTACAAGATATTTTAGATAATATGTAATCAGTAGACTGGTTTTGTGTACGTGTGTGTCAAGATGTGTTAAGCAATTGGAAAGCACCCGTTATAAATTTAAATATTATTATACAAACTTAACCGACAGCACTAAAAGATGTTGTAGGAGCTTTGCATCCATTACTTTAGAGGGCGCATTGAGAAAGCGTCACAGAAATTTTCGAGTTTCTTAAACTGAGTATTGGCGATGACTGCTGTTGGAGATTTGAACTTGAATAATTGGAGCGAAGCAAGTAAAAATTGAAATTAGATGATTTATCGTGTTTTAATTTTTAATCAGCAATCCTTATTTATCGATATTTAGTTTGATGCGGACGTAGTTACTTTCGGGCTCCTTTCTGCATTTCCAATTTTCTTATTTCACATCAAGATTAATTAATCTTGATATGAAATAACGATTTTGATGTGAAAAAAGAAAATGTGAAAATACAGAAAGGAGCCTGAAAGTGACTACGTCCGCATCAGACTAAATATTGATAAATGAGGATTGCGGATTAGAGATTAGAATACGATGAATCGTCTAATTTTAATTTTGACTTGCTTCGCCTCAATTATTCAAGTTCAAATTTCCAACAGCAGTCATCGTCAATATTCAATTTGAGAAACTCGAAGATTCTGTGACGTTTCCTCGACGCGCCCTCTGAAGTAATAGATGCAAAGTTCCTACATCTTTCAGAGCTGTCGGTTAAGTTTGTATAATGATAATATTTAAGTTTATAACATTAATAAAACCAATTAATATATTAATATTAGTACAGAAATCTCAACTAAGAAATTTAGGTAAAAAGAAATTGAAATGTAGTTATATGGATGTTCAAAAATATTCTTTTAATTAACGGAAAAGGTTGATCTAACTGCATAATATGAGAAATTTTATCTTTGAATCTCATATATCATAAATAGGATCTACAATGTGAACTTAAGCCATAAAACTTAAGCTTTAAGCCTGAATACAGTTTATCAAATAAGAGTGTGGTCGACTTTACTTAGTAAAAGTTGGTAAAAGGTATCGCCTTAAATTTTTCGTGAGTCGATAGAGAGAACCTCTCTCTTTGATGCACTATTAAAAAAGATTTAATTGTCATTGATATTTTGTAAAAGAAACACGTTGAACGTCATGAGTGCCAAATACGTGTCGCGCTACGAGGCTGTGTTCCTTTACATTCCCCCAAAAAGTTCGAGAATGTCGCAATCAGCGGCTGCTAAATATATGAAAAAGTCGAAAGCATTCGTACAGAAAGTGGGTGCAGCGGTATAATATGGCAAAAAATATTGATGATTTACCAGAACGTGGTTCGATAGGAAAAGTGGATAAAAAAAGCGAAAAACAAATAGTGAATATGTTTTCATGGAATCCTGACTTAACGCTGCATCAAGGACAAACAAAATTGAAGCAGAAAGGTTTAGATTTATCGCACGAAACTATCCGAATCTGTCTCCTAGCTTAGAACATGAAATGGCGCAACGCAATAAAGAAATCTCTGTTGACTGAAAAACACGTGAAGAAGCGACTCGCTTGGGCGCGCGAGAACATTGATCGAGATTTTAGCAATATAATTTTAGCAATATAATTTTTACCGACGAATGCTCTGTATGGGCACGTTGTATTCTTACGCGAGCCTGATCAACCCCTATCAATAGGCTTGTCTGGCGACCCGTTAAGAGTAAAGGTACAGAGTAAAGGTTCATCTTTGGGGCTGCTTCTCAGAGCAGGGTTTTGGCACTTTACACCCTTTACCTATAACCTGAATGCCGAGAAAATGGTGAGAATCAAAAAGGCTTTGTTAAACGTCTATCAAACGTTGGTTCATCGACAAAAATGAGGACTGGATTTTGCAGGAGGACAACGATCCCAAATATCGCAACAAGCTCTGTACCGAATGGAAGAAGCAATCTGGCATCGTTACACTGGATTGGCCGTCGCGATCGCCCGATGTTAATCCTATTGAAAATGTGTGAGCATACATGAAGTATAAACTTTGTGGAAAACGCACGTACACTTCGCAGTAATTATCTCGCGAGATTCGTCGGATTTGTAGGTCCTTGCCGCTAGAATACGCCGCCAATTTGGTTGAAATCATGCTTCAGAGATGCCAGGCATTTATCGACGTCGATAGTGATTGGACGCATTATTAACAAAATTGCATCTTATTTTTCATCAAGTACAATGCATATATGAATGTGAAAATCTTGTTTAATAATTTTTTTTTATAAATTAACTCGACTACTCTCTTACTTGACAGACAGTAGGTAAAACAGAAATAAAAGCACGATGATAGTTAAAATAATAGCCGTTATTTGGTCCTGGCGGTGCTATAGATGTTGACAGATGTCTAAAATCACCGCTAGTAGTCCATTATAACCGATCATAGCAGATTATATAATCAAAAGTATTGTAAGGCCATAATCAAAGAGTATATTCCATCTACCTAGCATTTCATCTCAAGAAAATTGCTGCTGAAGCCGCCGAAATGATTTGTACTAGATATAGTGATAATGCTGTAAGTCGCACAACGTGTAAAAATTAGTATAAAAAGTTTCGCAACGAAGATTTTAATTTTAACAGAGAGACTCACGTTCTAGACGAACTGTCAAGTTTGAGTCGGACAATTTGCAGATATTATTAAATCAAAATATTTAAAGAGCTATTTCTGATCGTTTGCATCAAATAGAACAGATTTGAAAGGAAGAAAAGTGAATATGAATTAATTAAAGAGAACAAAGTGTGCTGATAAGACACAGCATTGTCTTTGCTAGGTCGATTCAAACAGGATTTTTTGCACTAAATCATCACGGATGATGAAAAGTGGATTCTATAGGACAATCCTAAACGCAAAAAATTATTAATAGATCTTGGTCAACTGACGACATCCACTGTAGAGCTTAATATCCATCAAGAATGTTTTGTTCTGTATCTGGCGAAACTGGAAAGCTATGCTCTATTATGAGCTGCTAAAACCGGATGAAATAGTCACGGTGGACCGCTACCAACAGCAACTCATCATTTGAGCGATGCATTAAAGAAAAAAAGGCCTTTTACTGGACAAGGAAGCCGCAACGTCATTCGACTACATGACAACGCACGACCACATGCTGCTAAAACGACGAAGCAGATCATCTTCGTGTTGGGTTGGGAACTTCTCCCGCACGCGACGTATCCACCAGACATGGTGCCCTCCCAATTACCCCTTATTCTGGACGATACAGCATTATTTGACTGATACACACTTTAAAATAGAAGTCCGAAAAAGCATCAATGATTTTATTGCTTCGAAGCTAGTGAACTTTTATCACCTGGGAATTTGCAAGCTGCCCGAAAGATGGCGGAAGATTATCGATAATAACGGGGAATATTTCGATGATTGAGCTCTTTTTGTTTGTTTTCAAATAAATATTGAATTTTGCCAAAAAAGCTAAGAACTTTCTAATTAATAGATAATAAATATATTGAACTAATTACTTTAATAATTGGACGTTTGCAAAATCTATTCAACTGGAAGAAATGATTACAACAGTTTCCTCAAGATTATTGAATAACGGAAAGTATTCAAAGAACTGCAAATTGCAATGATAGAAATTTGCGCGCTCAGACGCAATTGATGGCAGCGCAATAAGTGATACGGACGTTTGTTACCTGTATAGAGTACATACATAGTAATTATTATTAACATTGATTTTTAACGGAAACAGTAACGATACATCAAATATTATCCAGATAAAGTGATATTTACCTGTTCCTTATACTGTTATAGCTCTTACTCGATGATGATCTCTAACATTATGTTTTGATAGAAATAGCAACGATATCTCAAGTATTATGCAAGCAAAGTGGCATTTGTAGTGCCAGGTAAAATCACAAACAAAAGAAGAAAGAATATTTGAAGTATCTTTATGCTGTTTCTCCACAATAATTAACAGTTATGAGTATACAGGGTGGTTTAAATACTTTTTCTTCGATGTATCTCGAAACGCAGCCAACGTTAGATGAGAAAATTTCTTCTTGAATAATTTTCGGAGGATTATTTTCCTTGCATTGAGAGAAAAAATGTTTAAGAAAATAATAAATATTTATTTGATAGATACTAATGATTGAATGGTAAATCGACTGAATGTCAGGTTTGTTTCGAAATGCGCCGAAAAAAAATTATTCAATTCATTCTACAAACGTGGGATCAAAAATCCCTGGTGATTTTGATGATTCTATCCCTAATAAATGTCAAAGCAATATTAATGTCTTCCAGTTTTGATTTAAACATTTTCAAAGTTAACGTTATTTAAATACGCGTACATCGTGACTGTCTATTAAAGAGCTCAATATTACTTTCGTCTTGGTTATTCAAAGTATTGAATGTATATCCAAATACACATACGTCCCACCCAAAAATTCCTAAACTGAAACCGGCAGACCAATGACATCTGATTGTACGTTTGACAGTTAAACATTACGAGGCGCTTATTTTATACTTTTTTTATAATTTTTCAGTTAAATCAATCTACATACAACCACGATCGTAGTTAGTAGCTGACGAACTGAACTGCGTCTGTCAGGGATGCAAATGTAAAGTAGATTGCGAAGAAATCGCTTCTCTTTGATGTGCTTTGGAATAGACGGAATCGCGTAGACCGACTCTGCACTAAATTAGCTGGTTAAGTTCGATAACGTTCGAATGAGACATTAAAGTAAGGACGATACTTTGTTCAGACACGTTGTTTGTCCAGGTACTAGACTCGCGACGATTTTAATACACCAGTCTTCACCAGCGCGGTAATGCGTTCAACAGAATACGCTATTGGGCACACTATGAGCAAAGCGAACCTCGCCAAAATCACCCACGTGGCAGATCATCGAATCAACACCACTTAACGTAACGTTCCAATTCGCACGCGTACGCCGGTTAGCTGCGCGAGACGAAAGACGATGATAACGACGGGTATCCTGAGAATGTACGAGGATCCTTTATGTAGTACCAACAACGGCAGCAGCAGCAACGGCAACAACAGCAACGATGACAGCAGCAACAGCAGGAATAGTAGCAGAAACTCAAAGCTAAACCCAAAACTCGAGAGATACGGATTCGTGCGCTTGCTGACGATAGCCGTGACAGCCGACACAGATCGAAAAGTAGGTACCGTCGGTCGCTGACGAGCCACGGCGAGAATTTCGGCGCGTGTGTGCCGTCCAACATTTTTCTCTCGCCGCTTTTTCCCCGCCCTCCGGACCATCCTTCCATCGCAGGATCCGGTGATGAGGATGGTGCCGGATGGGCGGTCTCTGGGCTTGGGCGGGCGCGTTGCGTTTTCACATAGCAGCCGCTACGACCTTGCGGCACAGCCTAGTGCTCGCTTCGATAGGTTGCTACGTTCCATTTCGATCCGCTAGGCTCCAACGGGATGACTAGCAACGGCGGGAACCAACTCCATCGGTCGACGGCGGCGAAGCGCCGCGCCAATCGACGACGAGACAGCATGGTCGCGCCACTCGATTGGCGAGACTCGCCCAATGGCCGTACGGAGGCCTTAGCATCTCCACTTCTCCCATCGCAGCCTCTCCTCCGCCTCTCCGCGGCGTATGGAAACCCTTCTCTCACACGCAAAAGGGGACATCTCATCACGACTCTTGGTAGCAGGCACTTCTCCGTAGTGGGCACTCCACTCATCGTGTCGTCGTACGGGTTCTCCGCGAGAGGCTGTGGGGCCTGTGCCCGGGCGGGCGAGCGAGCAAGCGAGCGAGCGAGCGAGTGAACGAGCGAGCGCGAGCGCGAGCGGGCGAGCGCTGGTCGAGTGGGTCTAAGCGGCCGTGAGGACCTCTCCAGGAGTACCCGACAGAAGTCCTCTCCATTCATTCATCCATCCATCCAGCCAGCAAGGCAGGCAGCCACCCAACCAGCCAGCCAGCAAGCAAGCCAGCCAGCCAAGCCAGCCAGCCGAACCAGCCTGCCAGCCAGCCAGCCAGCCAGCCAGCCAGCCAGCTAGCCAGCCAGCCAGCCAGCCATCCATCCATCCATCCATCTATCCATCCATCCATAGAGAGCGGCTCCTCTCCTACAGAGAGAGAGTGTATCCTCGACGAAGGTGGAGGCGAAGCGTAGAGTGGTACATTTACCATCGTCTCTCTATCGACGGAATCCAAGGACTCGAAGACCCCCGAGTGATTTCAGTCGGCCGCCGGCCGGCTTTGGCCGGCCACTGTCCTCGACCACGTGTGTAAGGTCGCCGTTGTGGGTGCCGCGCGACGACCCTCTGCGACCTTGTTCCCCTCGCGCTTCGTCCGTACGTACGGATTCGGGATACGTGGTGTGAAACGCGTTCTCTTATCGCCCGCCGGTTGACTCCCCGCTTCGATTCTTCCGTTCGATCACGTGTCGGATTCTTCGTCTTTGCCAAGCCGTTGTCCTGGAGAGCACCAAGGAGACGAGGACGGACGCACGAAGATGGATACAAGGCACTGTGCCGTCGGCGATCTGATTGTGAAACGCGAGTGTAGTGACAGATAAAGCAGCCTCGAGCTCGACAACTACCGAGTACAAACGTTCATGTCCGCGGAGTCTCACGACTCAGTGACTTCCCGTGGGACACTCGTGCCAGTGCGTCGGAGGAACTCGCGGGTTGCGAACTATGTGCGCGTCACAGCGTCATCGAGATCGCGGCATGAGAACAGGGGACGATTACTGGCTCGAGGCGGATGATCGCGAGCTTCGCGTCGATTATGCGAGCGAGCGGCTCTGGTGTTCGTGAAAACGGAATCCGTATCGACTCGCGTTCCACGTTCGCCGATTGCGATTCGAGTGATACTGCGAGTGCATAGTGACAGTCTCGTGCAGCGATCTCGGGTGAGCGTGAGTGGACCTTTGAGATTCCGTGGAGACGATTGGACCTGGTGTGTACGAGTTAACCAACCGAGCGCGAGAAAGGAGAGTGTACCGAGACTCGCCAACCCAAGGATCGCGCCCGGAGCACATTAACGACGCGATTTTAACGACGCGGTGAGAACCGCGGCGAGTGTACGGTCGTAGCAGAAGAGGAGCACTAGCGTCGGAATGTTGTCACGCCGTTGTTACGGCTAGCGCCGGCCTCATCATTCCGCGAAGCGCGAGCTTCAAGTACTTCGACGGCGTCGGGCTCGCCGAGATGAGCGGTGGCAGCGGCGGCGGCGGCGGCGGCGGTGGCGCAAACGGCGGCGGCAATCAGGGCAACGGCGGCAATGCTACCAGCTACCACCAGCACCAGCAGCAACAGCAGCAACAACAACAGCAACAGCAGTCGCAGCTGGAGCAGGCCGGCCTGCTGTCGGACCTCAATGGCATCGACCTGGCGATGAGCCTGTCGCCGAAGCAACACTCGTCTCACGTCCAAGCCGCCGGCGCTCACACGACCCCCTTCAGTGTCACCGACATCCTGTCGCCGATCGAGGAATCCTACAGGAAGCTCGAACTCGCCGCCGCAGCCGCCGCCGTCGGTGTCGGCGTTGTCACGCATCCCCAGGGCTCGCCTTACGGGAACGCTTGCGGCGCTCGGGTAGGTGGTAACACCGGTAGCTCGAGCGCGAGCAGCGGCAGCCCGCCGCTGCACGGCGGCTCGACGCCCGGCGGCAGCACCCCCGGACCGGTTTCCTTGGCCAACGGGGCCGCCCCCGTTGGCGGCGGCGGCGGTGGCGGCAGTGCCGGCGGTACCAGCGGCGGCATGAGCGCCATGGGCAATCCTTACGCCACCATGCAGCTCACGTCGCAGTACCAATACTGCGCCGCGGAACTCTCGCCGTACCATCACGCCGGGCCCGGCGTCGGCGCCACGGCCACCGCCACGGACCCGATGCGGTCCCACGCGGTATCGTCGCACCATCATCCCTGGTACGCACCGGCGCCACCGGCCACCAACGACCCGCGCTTCGCCAGTGAGTAGTATAGCAGCAAGCTTGTTCCTTCGCTCGCGGTTTCGGGGGGTGACGTGACCATAACGACGACGGCGACGACGACGATGACAACGTGGTATGCTGCAGTCTTAAGGCTCGTCTACAACGCGCGGAGTAAGCTTGGCGTGTTGAAGTGAGAGATGGGAATAATTTATTTCGCTTACACTCCTTATGTACTCTAACTGCGTTACACCGGAAGTATTTCTCTTACTCAAAAGAAGCGAAATAAATTATTTTTATTTCTTATTCTCAACTTATACGCCAGACTTATACTCCGGGCATTGCAGACATAGCCTCGGGCGACACCGCGCTGAGAACGTTTCCGGGGGACCGTTCGTTGCTACGTATAATTTCGTCACGTTTTATTTTTCTTTTTATGAATTTAACGTTGACACTCGATATGTGCGTTTGCGTTCCATTATCGCGTTGACTTGTCTCGATTATCTTTTCTCGTTCCGCTAAAAAGAATCCAAACTGAGGATCCAAATGTGTGACATTTGTTTAACGTGAACATACGATCTTCCGTGTACGCGATATAATTGCGCGTTAAGAACGACGACTTAGCATTTATTAATCCTACTTGTAGTCTCTTGTTTTCTGTCGCTGAGAGCCATTGAAAGAGTTACTTCTCTACGCTTGTATTTGTGTTCGCGGGAGATACGATCCCTCTGGAACGTCAAGCAGGTGCAATGAAACGCGAATGAGGAAAACGATCGGTATTGCGTGTACGGTTCGCGTTTAACGTGCGGGATTACCTGCTGTTTATCGTTAATCGTGACTTTCCATCGCGCCATTCTAAGAGCGTGTCTCGACTACCGAAAAGATTACGTAACACGCGTACGCGAGAGGTAAATGGAAACTTAGGTAGGAGAATACTACAAGTCGCGAGTAGACATCTCGAAAGGAAGTTGCTTGAATTGGTTGAAAGGAAGACGGGTTATGCTTGACACGGTGGCATTTTGCTCTGAAAACGCAGAAAGGGAGAGAAATAGAAGGAAGAGCAGGGGGGAGAGAAGAGAACCTCGAAGCGACTGCAAACATGACACGTATGGTGCAAATAGTTCGTAAGTTACTCGGCTCGTTTTTCACATGAGGAATGTCCGAATTCTCAGATTTCCACGAGCAGGTGTCCCTTACCGACAGCTAGATAGAGGTGACGACGAGATTCTTCTCGCATTCCGATCAAACCGACCGGAGTATTGCCGTACAAAGTGATAGAACTCGAGGTGCTGTGTAACAACGACGCGCGAATCGTCTTACGTTGACAGAGAACGACTCTAGCCTTGCATTGCGGTTTGCCAATCGCTACCTAATTCGTCTAACGCGATTCAACGTGGCTCCACGACGAGAACGTATCGCCGACAAATGTCAAAGGTGCTCGCAATTTGCAGGAATTTGATTAACGAGAGCTCATGTCGCGAGGATTAACGTGACTTTCGACGCAGTTGTGACAATCTCGGTCGAGTTTCGTCGACGGTGCTTCATGTTGATGAAAAGCCGCCGTAGATGGTAATTTCCGACGTCGGGACGCGGCTTTGCCGCTACCTTCGTCTCTGCACGCTCAATGCCGCTCGCGGTCCCCGAGATACAGAGGAAATATATTTCGTTAGCTACGTCCATTTACATGCTCGTCGCGAATGGACGAGGGGAGCCCCCTCCGCGTGGGGCTCGTCTACATATCGATTAATTCAGCGGCCGCTTCGATGGATTGCGCCTCGGACAGTTGGTCTATCTGTCAAACGCTACCGAGTTATCGAATGCAAACATTCGTTCTCCGTCAGCCTGTCAAATGAGTTTTGAGGGGCCCGTATTTATCGGAGGCTCGCTGGTAGCCTCGCACGGACTACGCGCTCGCACCTACCTACAGAAAGAGAAAGAGAGAGAGAGAGAGACAGACGTTGTGCCTGACGACGATCGTTAATATGGAAATCAATGTCAATGTCGGACGTCTAAGCGCGAATGATCCACACCTGTTATTTAGTCACGACGGGTGAGTGAAATCTCTCTTTAGGGCCGCTACTGAGGATTCGCGCGTGGAGTTATAACGTTATCGGATATTCATCGAGATCTCGCGTGTAAATGCCGGAAGCGACGAGAAACGACCGGGAAGATAGAGAAAGGGCGTGCGACAGAGAGAGAGAGAGAGAGCAGACGTTGTACTCTCCTCGTGTAATCACGTCGGGATGAAAACCTATCTCGCGCACCAGCCACCATTCCTTCCGCCTTGCGAGAGTCACGTCCCTCGCGCTTTTATCGGCGCTATAACCGGCTGGAATCATGGATATCTTAGCTCCATTTAGGGATCGACGAGAGTGTCAGTCAGTCTCTCGTTACAAAGTCGACGAAAGAGTATCATCGTTAATTGGTAACGAGAGCCCGCCGGGTTTCTCTCGGGTTTTCGATCGTCTTCCAGTGTAACGCTACACGGTCGACGGAACGACCGAAAATCTCGCTTCTGACTCTTCAAATTCTCGACTCTCCTCGAAATTTTCTCTTTCCAGACTCCCCCGAAAATTTCTCTTTTGCGAAAATCGAACTTTTACTCCCGTTCGTCTCCGTGCTTCGACACCCAGATAAACCTTCACGTTTGTCGCGACGTGAAACGAAATCGGTAAAATGGCAACTTTGCAAATATTTTAATCACATTTATGAAGCAAGTATACAAAAATTCTGGCGAGATTCACCATGTTCCTTAGCAAGATAGATCTTACTGACAGTTTATTCCTGAAACATATTCCTAGAAACATGATAAAATCGAAAAGAATTTATACGAAAAAAGAAAGAAGCTATAATATTTTCTCTCCATGTAAAAGTTGCACTCTCTTGCAGATTCTCGTATTTTATATGACACATTGTTCCCAGCAAATCCACCTATGTGATAAACACGAGCATCATGAACTGCTCATAAGGAATGCGTCTTGTACAAGTGTCTCCCGATACAAAGTTGCCGCCAAATTTGCGTGCACCTGTCTACCCGGCTATTTCATTTCTCTCTCTTTTCGATTCGAGGGGCGCGCTGTAAATGAAAGTGGAGAAAGAGAACACGGAGATCTCACGACGAAGTAGTTTTTAAACGACGCGGGGAGAGGCGATCGGCGTGAAAGCGTCTGTCCGGAAAGTGCGGAGGTTTCGGCACTCGTGGATCCATTTGGATGTCCGGAGCACCGCGCGAGTCTCGCGTTTCAGTGTCCACAAAAGGCCGTCGTGCATACCGCCGTCGGCCAACAATGCGTGCGTCCTCCGTGCGACTTGTGTCAACAGGCATTCGTCGTCTCGTCTACGTGGATTTCCGTCCGTCGCACGCGCCACTCCACCGCGAGAACCGATCGTTACTCCATATCGATTCGGTGGACGGGAAAGTAACGTGGCCGGTGGACAGCGTCGAGGATTTTAGTTAAACAAATAAGCGGGCCGCCGGACTCGGAAACCTCCTCCTCCTCCGGAGGGGGATGCGCGCGAATGCGCGCCTACGTCTTTCGAATTCGATTTCGCTGGACTTACCGCCGCCCCTTGCAAAGCAAACAACGCGTAGGGAAACCCCTACGACGCGTTCCTCGAGGGAGAACGAACGCCGTCCGCGTTCGCCTCCCGACCTCGCTCGATTGTTTCCTCGTCGATTCGCGATAAATTACGAAATGACGGACCTTATCGGAACAGGGGGAAGCGAGGGGGCGCGATATATGCGAAAGACTCGCTCGGTGGCTACCTCTTTAACGGTGCCCACTTGACGCGACAATTTATCTGTCGCTAATGACTGCGAAATCGAGCGATCCGAATTGAATCCACGATGATTGATTGTTCATCCGTCGCTCTCGACAATCGCAAAACTGAATTTTTTTTAGCTTAACGATATCGCCGCGGGATCGTTCATCGTTTCGTTAATTATCTCAGATATCGCATCCGTGTACAGGAATTGGTAAACATATTCATCATTAATCTGGTCTCTCTCTCTCTCTCTCTCTCTCTCTCTCTCTCTCTCTACAGTGAGATATTTCAGGATATTTTTATATCGTCACTTTGTGCCGCTGCTATTCACAGGCCGACAGCTTCCGATGATACATTGTGTCGGTCAGTCGGTCGCGTTGTCCGCGATTAGCATTTTAATAAACCTCCATTGTCGAATGCCCTGCTCTCATCGCCACGTGCGCGTTATTTATACACACCCCAATGACCTTTCCTTTCTCTACGGCTTTTTCTACGAATCGTATCGTTTCATACGCATTAACCGTGTTACACGCGTCGGACACGAGTGATGTAACACGTCGTTCTCGAGCCGGGACGAGCGAACGTGGTACAGCCTAGCCTCTGGACGGGGCAGCCGCCGAACTTGCCACGTGAATCGCGTTCGACGTAACGCGATAATTACTACGATGACTCGTCGAAAGAGGAATCTGCCTCGCGAGCCAACGAGCCAACGAAGGATGCGTCCGTGACGCGGAGCGAGAAATCTCCGACTTCTGTCACCTATCTAATACCTAATTGGAATTCGAAAAATCGAGACGTAGGTTTGCTCTCCGTCGTTACGCAGCATTATTGCGCCCCGAAGCGACGCCAACCCGGGCTGAGGGAGGCAGAGAGGGAGGGAGGGAGGAAGGTAGGGGGCAGAGGAGGGTGTTCGACGTAAGGCGAAGGCGCGACGTCGGTGGCCGGATAGGCCGTTGGAGGAACGTCAATTTATTTAACGAGCTCCTGCACGCGCGTTGTTCGCCCACCATCGGGATCCGCCTTTCGTGTATTGGCAGAAGTTACACCGAAACATTCCGTCCCGTCAGTCGTAGGTATCCACGTATTCATTGTTCACGACGACCGCTGACGAGGATAACGGTCGGGATAACGCTGTACCACGCAAAGTTTTACAAGCCCGGTATAACTCACTACTATGTAACAACGCGAGGCAATCGCGCTTCCTCTCGTGCGAGGATCTTCCACGAATTTTCCGAGTCGACATGACAGCGGAAGAGGATTAGATTCAACGTGTAATGTATTTTAAGACAAATCAGGTGGAAAGAACCGAGTCTCAGGATCGCGCAAGTTTCATCGCGCAGAGTGCGATCGAGTCAAACTTGATGCGTCGATTGAGTCGGATCAACAATCCGACGCGGAAAGGGATTTTTCGTCAACAATAAAAGCTTCATGAAACTGATACGTGCTTGTATACGTAACACAGATGCTCTTTCAATCGCTAAAAAAAGTCCGATTCAATTACATGATACAAGTATCTTACCTCCATTTGGAAAGTTCAGTTACTGGATCAGATAGTAAATACAAACAGCAATGGATCAGCTTTATGATCGCCTCGTTGAATTGAACATTCGGATCAAGCTTTACACACAAATAAGGCATCAAGAGAACGCGGAAATCTCGCTGAAGGAATTAGAGAATAGTTGCCTTATTATACAGAAGTTCGAAATTGAGTTTGTTCAATCCGATTCGAGCGATAACTTCGGAAACAAGGATGCTATTCGCGAACGTCGACGGCGATAATCGCGCACGGAGCACACATAATCACACGGTCAGTACGCCAGGGACATCAGTCGATGCGACTCTCAGTGGTTCGTCAACGACTCGCGATCTTCAGCGTTCGATCGGGGGAGGCTCGCTGGTCAAGTCGGCCGCTGGCTGTGATCGGCAGTCGGCAGTTGCGAATTACAGGCCATGCTAACGATAACGCCGCGGTCCGGATATCCGCGCGTAATGAGAGGGATAAAAATACACAGCGCGCGCGCCGCCAGCGAAGATACAGTATTGCTTACGTTCGGCGAGCGTAAGCGCGAACGTAAGCAAGCGTCGGGAGGCCTGCCGGATTTCTTCCTCTGGAACGGACCACGCCGAGCGGCGGAGAGAGCCCCGGGGTAAACAAATTTGACGGTATTTGTTCCTGCGCTCGAGTGGTATTTCTTTCTCGCCCTCGACTCCACTGACGGCTCCGAGAACACGTTCTCACAGACATAATAATTCGGGTACCTCATCTTGGACCTCCCGCGCTCGGTGACGTAGCACTTTGCGCACCTAAATCGTTCTCTTTGTCCGCGGCCAGGCGCGTTCGTTCCTGACAGCCCTTCGCCAACTGACAAGGGATGGACCGTGCTCGCTCGCTCGCTCGCTCGCTCGTCGGGTTTCGGTAGCTCGAATTCGGAGAGAGAATCGCTCGGCCGCGTCATCATCGTGGATCCGCCGCGGGACCGTTTAAGTATTCCACTTTTGCTGCTCGTGCGAGCGCGCGCGCGTACACGGGTTACGCAGGGACGACCCCGATCGCATATCTCTCTAAGATATACTGAAGGAGTCAAGGAAGTAGTGTATACCGAGTCGAAATTTTGATCCTACTTTCGACCTCAATATTCCAGTTAATGCCGATTTTGATAATCTGAAATCTCTATCAAGCTCTTTCGACTCGATTTAACCTACTGGCTTTGCCGGGAAGTCCTCTTTGGGACTTACAAGTGACATTTTGTGTGTTTCTGCTATTTAGGGGCGCTAAGCGGGATTTCAGTTTCTGTGTATATTACACATACACTGATCTTTGCAGAACATACAGATGTTAGGAAATTCGGGTCTATAGTGGAATTAAAATTTCGATTCGAAATTCTAGCCTGTTCATCTTGAAATCGTACTAATTCGTATACGAAAAATATCATGGAATGATAAAACAACTTGTCGTTATCATTCGTTCTTGACTGGCGGCTTCTTTTTATACCAATCGGGCTTTTTTCGTCAAGTACCAGTCGCTGTGTAGACGCAATGTAATTGTACACGGGAAGATAATTAGATTCATGTAACTGAGTTTCTGTTGCCTGGAGATCAGGCGAGAAGTCAGTGGCGGGAAACGATCTCTGTTAATGCGACCGAAAACATTTGTCTGATCCTTCGTCTGCATTAAAATTGGGTTGGGATAATTGAGGACAATTGACTGTGTATATTGGAAACCTCTTGCTGGAATCTTTCTGCCGCTTCAACCGACTTCTCGTCCGGTCTTCAGGAAACAGAAACTCAATTATATACGAGTTTTCTTTTTTATATGCGTCAAATTTTTCCGAAGAACGATCTCGTATAGTAATGTCACGAAATTGTATTCAAGCACAAAGAAAATTCAACGAGTACGCAGAAATTTTGAGTAAAAATAAATTTATTCTTGCACGGAAAAAACAACTCCGCTGAATGTGACTGAATTTCCATTTAGCTGGAGAGAACAGGGACCAGACAGAATGTAATGATATGATACCTTTGTTATCGTATGAATATTCGTCCGAACAGTCAGCTGCTTTAGAAAGCAATCGAGATAACTGGTGACAATTGACACACTAAACAGAAATCAGCAACAAGAATCTTTCTGTTCCTACAACTGAACTTTCTCTGTCTGTCCCCTGTTCTTCCCAGACGAGGAAGAATCCTGTCACACTAACAGAATCGTATTTCCCTCATGCCAGCCGTTCCGCCGCACTTTCCTAAGAAGGCAGCTTAAGGGTTAAAGAATGTTAAGCCGTTTAAAAGTCGTCCCATCGCGACAGCGGCGTCCGGCCACGACCGAGAGGTTAATAGACCCTAGAAATAAGTCTGCGGATCAGGAAAAGACCGCGAAGTATCATTTCCGCTTTGCTCAATATGTTTTGCAGTCTCGCGGCTGATGGGTGCGGCGGCGGGCGCCGGGACCAACATGGCCGGTTGTTCGGTGGGCCAGTCGATGGGCGACGTGACCAAGTCGTCGGGAATGGGGGTCGGCGTCGGCGTCGGGGTCGGGGTCGGCATGGGCGTCGGTGCGATGCAGTTCCCCCTCGCCCAGAGACGGAAGAGACGCGTGCTGTTCACCCAGGCCCAAGTATACGAGCTCGAAAGGCGATTCAAGCAACAGAAGTACCTCAGCGCGCCCGAACGAGAACACCTAGCGTCCCTAATTCACTTAACGCCTACTCAGGTACGTAATCGGTGCGTATTCGGCTACTTGCCGAATAATCGGGCCGAGCAACCGGCCGAGAAATCCGGAGGCGACCCTCTCGCTCGCTGATCGCGCGCGCGAACGACAGTGACTCGCGTTCTCCGACGGGAAGTCGTATGGTGAGACGACAGGTCGCCGAAAGATACCAAATGCTTTCGCGAACGCACGATTTCATTCTAAAATGTATTGGCAATACTGAAAATCTGTAATTCACATCACGTACACTGTACTGAAGAAAAAGTGTGTTTGATACTTGTAACTGTAATCTTATGGCGAAAGAATTATTGTCAAAAGAGTCACTTTTGTACAGCATTACTGTAGACAGAGGGAATATTATAGTTTCTTTTGCATATAAATTCTCCTCAATTTTACTATGCAGGAAATACTTTGATAACACATTTGAGAGTTTGTACAAGAGATATAAATGGCACATATGAAGAGAAAGGATAGTCAATTACTGCAGAATGTCGAATGTTTCTACAAAATTCTACAGTAATTTTCATTATAAAATTCTCTCCATGTGCAGAATGTTAGTAGAATAATCTTGCATACATATGACTATTACTGCCTCTTTTTTAGAAAATACAGTCGGGAATAATTCTAATCTTAGCGAGACCAGCTATTTTTTTTCTTTCGGCGTATGAATTTTCAGTACTGTCGTTACATTTCAGAGTGCAGGTTGTATTTCAACTTGACTGCCGTTCGATGAAATCGACCGTCCACCCGCACGTATAATATACATATATGCAGTTTATACCAGATGTGCATCGCCATGGCGAAGATTAATCGCTGAAAGGAGATTAATTGCGGAAGCCGGATGATGGGTGTACGCTCGTGGGGGTGTATCCACGTCGTCCCTCGGCCAATCGAACAGCGGTCGTTATCGTTAATATAGAATTTCGAAACGATTCGGAGAGATTCTACAATATTCTCTCTGTACAAGGATATACAATAGTTCACTGACTTACAATCGAGACTTGCAAACGAACGCTTCTAAAGATTGTTCTAAAATTTACCATCAATTAATTCCAAGCCTCACAATTTTTTTCGTTGAAACCTCATAGTGTTCGCTGCACTGAGAGAAGAATTTAGTAAATATTATCAAAATTTGGTTACTATTACTAAATGGTAGACGTAAATATAGCGGGCCAAAGCTATGGCAATACTTATTAATTTAGTTCTGTAAAAGAAATTATTTATTTGACAGAAGTAAAATTTATTTGCTTCCAGAATATATTTGGTAAATAAAATTTATTGAATAGTTGAGCAAAATAAGCGATTTTGTAGTAGTTACAAAATTTTTGGTAGGTTCAACCAACCATCTGTAATAATAGATATTGAAACGATGTAATAGCTGCAAATGAATGAATTTTTCGTTGTGCTGCAACAAAACATACTTATACTGGTAACAAAATAGAACTCGTACCTACTGAATTTTTTATTACATGGGATATAACAATTTCATAACAATTATCAAATATCTGCTCATAACTGTAATATATTTCATATTAAATATTTAACATTAAGTAACTATTACTAAATTATTTAATTGATGTTACTGTGAATGCAATTACGTCATACTCCCGATCTATTAAATATTTGGTAATTATTATCATATTTAGTATTAGTTACTAAGGATTCAATGAATTTCGATAACTAAATGCAGTTTGTTATAGTTACCAGTCTTTTCTCTCAGTGTGTGCTTGTTTCGGTATTGGCAATTTTTTCGGGTGTTTTTGATCGACACACACAGACTTAGCCGAATGAATGGATGTTACATTCAACCATGAATGACCTATGATCAGGTATCCATTACCTTGTTGGAGTTTGACCGCGAGCTAAATTCGACGAGCAGACATGTCGCGTAATTATTCGGCTGCTCGTCGACGCCGCGTGGCAGAGTCGCCGTCTACCGAACCCTCGGCGAGCCCCGGTCAGGCTGGCCGATAAGGCATACGTCAATTTTAACGAGCGTATTCATTTCCATTGGACAGACAGGTCTGGTCGCCGGCTCGACGCGGCGCGGCGCGCATCAGTCTGGCAACAATAAATAATTGTTGCGTGGCTCATTGGCCGCATCCTGCGTCCGTGCGCGCGTAACGCGGCGAGTCTCCCCCTCGTACGGGTCTATCGTTTCGTCTACCGTTCGTCTCTCCGTCTCCGCGACCAATTTACTTATCAGCCCTTCGAAAGCGAGCGTTCGGGAATTGTCTCCGTTTGCCATCAGCGGAATGTTTCTCGTTTCGCCCAACGACTCTTATCGCCGCTAATCGACTCGCATGAGTTTCTGCCTCCCTTTTATTTCTCCGATCCTCCGTTATCATTCGGTGTTGCACATTCGGTTGAATAATAATTTTGAGGTCTTGTCCTGTACGCGTAGCAGATGTTAATGAAACACGTTCAACTGCCACGGTAGTGATCGCGGCGTCTCATCAACGTACGTATAAAAAGAGAAACCAACCGCGTGTGACAAATAAAATGTGTGGCCGACAGAGAGCCAACGAGACGAGCTAACGGATATGTGCATCGCGAATTGCATTTATTTACCCCGCACACTTGATGGATCAAACTTGAGTCGAGCATTGAAAGAATCAGTGAGGATCAGCGTGGCGGGGCCAACGTTTTAAGTGCGTCTTTCTGACTGCAAGTTCCGTTTGTTTCTTATGGACGTGACGTATAACGTTGTTGCAGCCTGAGAATAAGAAAGGCATACTTAGCATTTGCTAGACGTACCAAGATACGAGTCCTGCGCGCACGTTTCATCGCAAGACATTTCGCGACGTGTCAAATATGTAAGTGATGTGTCTGCTCGCCTTCATACACGCGCGCCGATCGGAACCGGTGAAAGCGGAAGCGGAGTGCTTCCTTGAACCGGAAGTCGAACGTGCACGCGCAGACTCTCGGGGCGCACTTGGAGCGTCGCCGACGAATCGATTCCGCGTCGAGCACGGAAGTCGACGAAGAGGCTTGATTGCAATCAGCCGGGATTTTCACGCGCGCCCGGGGCGAATGGCCCCGCACTACCTACATAAGTTTCGATAACGAGTTCCCCAGCGAGTGGCCACTCCAACGACCGCCAAAAACGCGCGGCAGAGGAAAGGCAGGGGACAATAACGGAGAACTACGCGAAATTACGCGATGCCACCTCCTGCCTGCGTGCGCTGCGCTCGCACTTCCGTACTTTTCTCGCCGTACGTCTCGCCTAACGACGTCGTGCGCACGCAGACATAATTTTAACCCTTTGCGGTGCTGTGTCGAGGCTACCTCGCCGTCGCGTCTCGTTTTCCAGCCGATTTCATAACTTCTTATTCGTTAAAATGACTTCGTTAAAACATATACGCACGCACGAAAAGAATGCTGTTGTATCAATAGAAATTAACATTGCCGTGATTGGAATAAATTCTCTTGATTCAACACCAATACACCATTGAAACCAATACATCATATACTGTTCTAATGAGTCAAGTATTAGCTTCAATGGCATTGCTGTTGAATCAAGGAGATAGTAAAGAGATCACATGGACAATGACAAACGCCGGTGATCGGACGTACTTCCCGTTGTCTAGTTTCACGACGTATCATCTTTCGAGATTCGAGACGAAGGAACTGTTCCAGCAGTTTTTCCTTGTGATATCATCGCACGGAAAGAGAGAAGTCGATCAAAAACAGAAGTCGATCAGAAAAATGGCGACACAAAATGTTTATCTCATCGCACGCGTCGACCGATCTTTTGTCTCTCCGAGCATACTCTCTCTCTCTCTCCCTCCCCTCCTGTCCTCTCCACGACCTCCTCCTCCACCTAATACCCCTTCCCCCCTCGCGTGTCTCTTTGGCACGGGCACAAGCAGATGGGTCCCTCCATTTTGCGCTCGCATTGTTACTCCAAGTACCCGGCCCCCTTCGCGCGCGCGCGAGTGAACGAGCGAGCGAGAGAGCGCGGTGTGTTACAATGCCCGGCCACTCCTGGCATTGTTACCGGTATTGTTATTATTATCGCTACTGTTGCCGGTTGCGGCCGAGTGGCGAATGGGAAAGCAGAGGGCCGATGAGCCAGCTGCTACGTCGAGTGCTGCATTAGAGGCAAATTACACTCCTCTCGCCCGCCTAGCTAGCTCGTAGCTTTCATCCCATCCCTTCTCCCTCCTCTCTTTCTCTCTCGCCTCGCCTCGTTTTCGGAAAGTCTCGATCTGTCGAATCACACCACCCCCGAAGGTTCAATTCGCCATTTGGACGACGCTCGTGGTTGTTATCGATACCGCGGATGGTTAAACACGTTTGGATGCGTCCGCACGGTCGTGGCAAGGTAGCAGCGCCACGCTTTCCTTCCCCTGTTTTCTTTTCCTTAAATACAGGGAATTTTGACTAACGGGGTTCCGCGTCTTAATTAACACACCGCCGCGCCGCCGTTCTCACCGCGATCTAAATTTCCCGGGCTTCTTTTTTCCTCCCTCTTTTCTCTTCGATACGCGGCCGCCTTCATTTAATTAATTTCTCTTTGCCGGCAGAGTTCTCGCGATTTAACGAGGGCGGGCACGTCATAATTCACCGCGATTCGCTTAAAAGCCGCGACTGTTGCTCGACGGATTTAAAAAGTTCCTGCCGGGACTTCCGCGGGCAACTTTATATTTTAGCGCCGCGCGAGAGAGCTTAAGCGGCGAGCCCTCCGTTCAATCTTCCTTGCCGCGATAGCAGGTAACTGGTACTCGGTAATTTCCATTCTCCACCGTAACGCTTACTCCAGCACTGTTAACGCACGGCACGAAATATTTCGGTTATATTTATTAGCACACTTTCGACATATCGCTCGAGCGAGCCGATACGATAAATTCGCGCGTAACAAAGTTACATTTGCGTGTCGGCCTCGCTTGCTCGCTCTGTATCGTATTAATTGCTGAACCGACGCGATATACGGAGCGAACGAGGAGGATGTCTGACAGACGAATTTTCTCTCCCTTCTCTCCTCTCCTACCTATCCCCTA